TGAATAGAAGGGCAACTCACGTGTACAACGCGTCCTAGTTGTTTTGTGCGCATGCGTCAGGTCCGCCATTACTCTGGCCAGTAAACTGGCTGCTGGCGTACTATAGATTATATGGAGAAGAGTAGTGTTTGGGCTATAAATTTGCCTTTTTCGTTCAAGTTTTTCAATGATCGTGAACGTTTTTGACAGAAGATGAAAGAAATAAGGTGAGGCATTGCAATTTATTAGGTAAAAGCAATCTAAAGACGTTCTATTAGCAAATACTGACCGTTTTACTTGCTTGTTAAAAGTTGTATATTTGTATATTGAATAAAAATGTTTGGTATATTCTTGGGTAAATTGGCACGGTACTCCTATTTTATCAGATACTTATGTTAGTTCAAATCTTCATAACAATGTGCTTACAGTAAAAGCATTGTTTCATCCCAATTTTCCGTCTTTAGCACAGTTGAGTATTGTATAGTGTCTATTTCCATATCAGACATATTTTCACGTTATTTTACCTGATCTGGATGTATTTTCATGTATATTTTTACAAATACACAACTATTACAAACCCACAACTAAAAGATTCCTTTTGTGTTTCTTTCACAAATAACAAGTGTTGTCTTCTGTAAAATAAGTGGTTTTTTGAAGTTTGTAATGTTGTATAAAACAAACTGATAGACTATAGTATAGTATACAAATGTGCTGCAGGTGAATCAGAAACATTGCTAACTATGCCCATAGCATTTCATCTATTATGTTACTCTTGCGATGTTACTCTGAGTGCATATCCACACCGGGCGAGCTTGAAAAATATGCCCGGCCACGGTGGGATTCGAACCTACGACTTTTGGGATACTAGCCCAATGCTCTTCCAACTGAGCTACGCGGTCAGGACGGTTCGAGTAAGTGATATTTCGGAACAGTATCTAGTTCCTTCAATACCAATGTGTTCTAGTAATATGAATTTTTCTGTGTTGGTGTTGTGTACTCAGGTGAATAATATGTTTGCGATGTTACTCTGAGTGCATATCCCACCGCGGCTGGGCATATTGTTCAAGCTCGCCCGGTGTGGATATGCACTCAGAGTAACATCGCAAACATATTATTCACCTGAGTACACAACACCAACACAGAAAAATTCATATTACTAGAACACATTGGTATTGAAGGAACTAGATACTGTTCCGAAATATCACT